TCATCATTACTGGTGGTTTCCTCTGTCAAAAGTGGGTAACATTGCTCTTCTGCCAGAGTTTGGATCCGTTATGGTTACCGTCTGTCCTCCGTCCGTAGAGTTTACGACCACGCTCCCTGTTAACACGTCAAAGGGCCTGCCCAATAGTACTTTATAGGCTGGGTCCCGTATTACATGCACTTGCAGGTAAATCATAATTCCTCCGAAGTTAAATGGAACATTTTTGGCGAGACCAAGGGTCTTTTCCACAGTTCTATTCGCACTTTGCATTTGAATGGTTATATCAGGATCCCAAGGGACTGCTAATTTCTTAGCAACCTCCGCATCCATTGATACAATTTGTGAGCCACCATCCAACAAGCTCTCTACTTGACCAAACTTATTAATTACTGGATATATCGATTTTAAAGCATGGGACTCTTTAGATACGTAAATCTCCTTTGGAGTTTCCGATGAGCCTAGGCCTTGCAAATATTGCTCAACAGGATCTGTCAGGACTATAGAACCCTTTGGTATTACTCCGTCATCCTCTGTTGTGCACATAAAAGTGGCTTTGATGTCCAAGTCATTTATATTGATTTTTCCGAAATTAAAATTATCTTCTTGCTTTTTAATTGGAGGTGCGTCTTTATCAACCTCCTCGACTATAGTTACTTTTCGATTGTGAGCAGTCTGAATTGGTACCTTCTTTTTAGCTAAGGCCTTAAACAATTCTTGCCTTACTCCAGGAGAAATGCTCATAAGTACTTCCGCGCTTAGAGTAACAGGTGCTTTTAACAGACTGTTCAACACTTGTTCCTCATTTTTAACATTTTCTATTGGAGCTAAATGCTTGTATGCTATCGGGCGCTTCTCATAGAAAGGCACTGGGTCATACTCTTCAACCGATTCTTTCGCGTTACTATTTAAGTCTGGGATACCGAGATACGGTAATTGTTTGTGCCTTGGATTAGGATCCTCGACATCATCATTTCTTTCAAGTAATTTTTGATTATTTTTCAAAGTTTCTTTGGTCCATTGAGATTTTCTGGTTTCTCGGGAGGAGTTTCTTCTTCCTCTGATTCTTCGATAATCACAACTTTCCTACCCCTTTTCTTTGGTGCGTCCTCCGGTGCCTTTGGTTCTCCAGCATTGGGTTTAGTCTTACTGGAAGGCCCCTTCATCGGACTCTTTAGTTTCCCGACTGTCCCTGAGTCTCGGTTTGAGATCTACAGGTGACGGCAAACTGCGACGCGTCTACGTCCCTCGTTTTATTGGGGTTTGTAACAAGGTTCGCAAGCATGTCGGTAAGTTTTAACACTTGGTTGTTCATGTTGAGAATCACATCGTCTCTTGTATCTCGCATCTGGTTTGTAAAAACGGAAATTTCATTTCCATTATTATTATCCGGTAGCCTGATTATACCTGGGACAACAGCTTCTTGACTAAAGACTTCTCCAGGCTCTGCAAACATATTATTTTGTAGAGTCAAATTTTGCCTACTAGCCTCCTCGACAATTTGTCGAACGGATTTTTCGCCATTCCCTCTTGGTACTGCAGTATTATTATGCGTAAAATACATTCGGTTCCCAAGAAGCTTGATTTTCTTCTGGGCTACGTGTGCTTCTCTATGTGGACAATTCGAAGTAAAATGGCCTGGTTCATCACAGTACCAACAGCCATCTGAAGTCATTTTATAACTCGCCACTTTGCTTTGTGGGTTACTGATATTCGGCTGTTGGTGAACTAAAGTCTCTAAGAGTTTCTTCATTTCTATCTGCATGTTTTGTACCATATTACGAAGTTCTGAATTCTGTTTTTGATCTACTTTAATTTGATCAAGGAACGTTGCAGTAATACTTCGCAATTCTTCGAATTCATCATGCTCTGTTTTAATTTCCCGTTCGCGCGCTTGAACTGATCTACCAGTCAATACAGCTCTCGCATTGCTTGGGTGGTCTTGGGAGTCTCCAGTAAGACGTCCAGCAATGGTTTCTGCCATGTCTATGATGTCTATGATATCGTATGGATCTTCAGTTCTTCTAGCAGTGGTCTCATCCTCGTTGCCTTTCTGTTTTCGGTCTCTAGTTTGTTCAATATTCAAACTGGCCTTAACTTGATCAGCAAAGGAATCTGTCAGACAGCCTAAGAACATGTCAACTAGCTCTCGGTTGCTCACCAGTACTGGCGGCGCCATGAGTAATTTTTGTTGTGCCCTAAAACTTCGAGTTAAAATTTTCAACTCTGTCAAGTTCTTTTCTGCTAGCCGACTGTTTTCTCTACATACAGCTCTTAGTCCAGTTAAGGTCCCTTTTCCTGCATTTCGCGCATCAGGGTAATCTGCTATTAGAGCCTTTTTAAACTTGTCAAAGGAGCTGTCTTCGAATGTTTTAAATGCTTTCCATTCGAATTCAGTCCGTTGATCCGTATATTTTCCTAATTTCTTCTTTTTCTCCACATCACTATTAATACCATATTCTGCGAAAAGATCTTCCATTTGGTCTAAGAAACGTAGAAGCTCAATTGGTTTCTCTTTATCGAAGAACAGGGCTCCCTTATTACCGGGTAATGGCATGGTTCTGTGTGAAGACCGACCTGTAGGGGCCGGTTCTTCTATGCTTGAACTCGATGGGTCAGGCATGATTATTGGGTTTCTTCTGGCTTTTGAGTTCGAAGATTTTGGTTCAGATTGACGAACAGCTTTTGCAGGTCGACTAGGTATAGGTTTTGGAGGTACTTCTTTTCTTAACGGGTAACGTTGTATGACTGGCTCAGCAGCGCGTTTGGGTTTCCATGTAGGAGGTAAGGGTACTTGTGGACCTTCTCTAGCTCTTTTAGATGTGGCTGTTTCTCTGATTTTTATGGCTGCCGTTGTAAACGACTTTTGATGCTAGTTCTTGGTATTAGAAACTAGGCTATTTTTTTATTTTATATGGTCTTTGGTTGATTCAAACAGATGTTTAAATAATTCGAAAACCGCTTTCAAACAACTTTTTCAAGTATAATTGAAAAACAAAACAAATGAAAACCCTCGCGGTGGGCTCCAGATGAGAAGACCGTGTCACGCGGGAGTGAGAATAGTGTAATCAGACGCACTGACAAGATGCGTGAACACCTAAACAACACACATACTCACAAACACCTTAAACACTTATCACCACAGGTACGTGCTCGGTACTTCGAGTTCGGGTTCGTACAGTAAACAGAATTACCACACTTGTTTTGTTAGAACTTAAGTAGAAGTTTGGGGAAACGTTTTTTGTATATTTTATATCACTTGTCTAAGTCTAGTAGACCTTTTTGGAACAAAAGGTATTGTTTTACGTGCGGACACAGTATAGAATTCGAAACTTAGTAGTCTTCGAAGGGAAACAGCTTTTATTGGGACTGTCTCGGTGTTCTGGGATTGCGTTCTAACTGTATACGAAGAAATGACAAGGAAATTGTGCTTTGTAGACTTTTATAACTCCCTTGAGCTTTTATTATGCCTCTGATGCGGTCCAAACTAGTCTTAAAGACTCTTCAAGCACGCTCACTTGGATTCCTCGGTAATAGTAGAGAGCTCTCTTACTAATTGACGAGACAACCTTACAAAAGCTTTGTGATCCCCACTTAACACGCTGGTTCCGGGCACACGTTACTTATGTCTGCGAAGAAAAGTCCTTAAATTGATTACAAACTTATCCACTACCTCAGATGCTACTGGGAGTGCGACAGCTGGTCAACGCGGGGGATAATTCCTTGCGTTTCAGCCTGCGCACATCCTCTTTTTATACTATTCTATGTTCTCTATTTATATTTACATGTCCGTGCATTGTCCGAAAGGTCGGACGAATTAATACTGATTTTTAGTAAAGGTTTGAAGTGGCTCGGTTGTGTGTGGCACAACTGAGCTGACTTCTTTTAAGTTTTCGTAGTGTTTTCTCTATTGTGGTGACGCGACGCATCAGTATTGATGCATACACGGGAATCACCGTAAACGGTTTTCACGATCGGTTCAGCCGAGACGAACGGTCTGCTTAGTGATTTTTCTCTCTATTATTAGATACTATGCCCGGGCCTTGGACCCAGTACTTTACAGTGCCCCTCCCATTCCTGCAGGAATCCACAGGAATGGGACCGGAATCTGCAGGAATCCACAGGAATCCACAGGAATGGGACCAGAATCCACAGGAATGGGACTGGAATAGAAGTAAAATCACAGATACAACATACATTTACACCAATACACACTTATGCATACTTCTCTCAGTACTTTTTAAGCTGATCAGTTTTCAGTATTAGTTCTGATCAGACCTTGGACAAAGTAAGGAGATATTATGTGACTGAATCTAACTCAGGCCTTCTGCTGACAACTTAATCTTAGGATTCCTTAGGACATTTATACTTAAAGAGGGAAGATTCATTTAAACTCATTTATTAAAAATACATGATGGAATTTATCTACATTGAATCTAGATAGAGGGAGGGGGAGGAGTGGAGCGAGTGAGGGGGAAGGAGTGGAGGGGTAGGGGTGCTGGGGAGTTGGGGGAATGAAGAACTAGAGGGGGGGAAAAACTGAAGGGAGGGCAGTGAGGGAGAGGGGAGGTAGGGAATGAGGGAATGAAGGCAGGGGGTAGGGAATGAAGACAGGGGGTAGGGAATGAAGGGGGTAGGGAATGAAGGGAGGGGGTTGGGAATGAAGGGGGTAGGGAGAGGGAGGGAGTGGTGAGCAGGAAAGGAGGGGGAGTAAGGGAGGGGGAAGGGGATGGTGGGTAATGGGTGAGCAGTAGGGAGAGGGAAGGAGTTGTGAGCAGCAGGGGAGGGGGAGGGAGTGGTCTCGTTGGCGCGCATCGTCATCGCGTCGTGTCGTCATCCTCGCGTGTTGTCGTCCTCATTGGTGTCGTGTCCGCTGGGCGTTGCGTTGTGGGCGTTAGGCGTCGTTTTGTGGGCGCTGGGCATCGTTTTGTGGGCGCTCGGCGTCGTTTCGTGGGCGCTGGGCATCGTTTCGTGGGCGGCCTGTGGTTTTCGTGGGCGCTGTGGTGTTTTCGTGGGCGCCGTGGTGTTTTCGTGGGTGTTCGTGGTGTTTTCGTGGGTGTTATGGTGTTTTCGTGGGCAGTGGGTGGTCATTACGTGGGTCGTGAGATGCGGGTGACGAACGACGTCAACGTCGTCGTCGTCGTCGGCGTTGTGGCGTGCGTGGTCGTTGTGGGTGCTCGTGGATGGTGGTGGGTTCGTCGCGTTGTCGTCGTTGTGACGTGGCGTTGCGGCATTTGCGTGGTCATCGTGGTGGGCGCTCGTGGATCGTGGTGGGTGCTCGTGGATCGTGGTGGTGTTGTTGTTGTCGTCCATTTGGCTGCCACGTCGCTGGCGGTGGTCGTTGCCGTTCGTTGCTGGGTGGTCGTCGCCGTTGTGGAGTCGTCGTCGTCGTGGGTTGGCATGGCGTTGTCGGTTTATCGTGGCTGTCGTGGGGGTGTTTGGTAATGTTGCCTTTGTTTGGTAACAGAAGTAAAACAAACAAACAAAGGACCGGATTCCGTTGCATTCCATTCCCAAAGAAAGTCGGAAATGGGAACTCCGCCTCATCTGGATTAGGCCGGACTCTGCCTCATTCTCCGCCTCACATAAATTCTTCCCTCAGTGTTATATATATACTAATTCCATTTATAATCTGATAGAAAAACAGAAAAATCCTTATATGAGTGGAAATGCGTAAATTTCACAAGTCAAAAAGCTGTGCAACTCAAGTGCAACTTCTGGCTACCCTAACTGACGAGGCCATATGACGTCATAAGCCTCAGTGTCACACACAAGCATCGACTTATGAGGGAGCGAGCTTCCCTCTGACGTTCACATAGTGCGATCTCTGTCGTCCGATGCAAGGCCTACTTAACGCTATCATAAGCGAGGATGCTGCAAACAGCATCCTCAAGCTATCATGCTTTATTCAATATGCCTCAAGACTCAAAAATGAAATCCTGCTTGCCCAACAATCGTCTCACCTTCCTGACATCGTTCCTCAGTTCCTTCCTGTTAGCATAATTGAATTCCTTGCTTCAAGCTGCATTATAAGTGAACAGGAGGTCGAGGAGTGCTGGAAAGTTGTAAAAGAGATTGTGTGGTCAGCTTGTAGTATCCTTGATGACAAGGCTGTGTCAGCTGCCTTCAAGAATCACGGCGCAGATAAAGGATTCAGTTTGTCACCAGTCACTTCTATATTCAACGAAGTAATTACATTGCTACTACATAGTTTCAGCTTGTAATCTGTGGCCTCCCTCACAGCTCTGTACCAACCCTGATTGTAAACACACAGATAATGGAAGAAAACTCCAGATTGCAACCCAACGTGAGGGGATCCTCTACACACTTAATGAAGGACCCATTCCGATTCATTCCTGCTTCCTAACTTGTAAAGGTATATTAATTGGCCTCCTAATTCACTCTATTTAGGCTCATCTAGTTGTCCAGACTGCAAGACCGATTATCACCTTGATTTTTACATGAAGAATGAGAGAAGATTCTATTATGACAATCCACCTGACATTTTCCAAATTGCAGATCACCAATTCATCAAACGTCATCTTATAGACATGTGGCGAACAAGCACCAACGTCGCATGGGTGTCCTTTGCCAATTGCGCCGCCGTTTACTTGAACACACACAACACAACGACGAACGATAAAATCCCCGAGTCTTGGAAATTCAAGGGCAAACTTGACGGCAAAAATGTCGCACATGCCTTCATTTTGTTAGCGTTGCTTGAGGACCACCAACGGCGCAACACCATCCTTCAGGTACCTCACGGCGGCTTACAATCTGAACGTTACAAGGTAGCCATGCACGAAAGGAATGATCGGATTCGCCTCTATGGTCAACCAGAACTTTGTCACCGGTGTCAGAAATGTGTCCGTGAATATGTAAATGATGGGCACACTGGTAAGCAATTTTTTGTTATCAGAATGATGTTTTATGTACTATGCACGTTTTAGGGCTCACCGTTCATGCGGTTGTCATGGACGGGGTAACGCTAGGTCGCCCGACATGCGGCGTACTGCATTGCACTAATCCTCTTGCCAACAAGCATCATCGCTTCTGTCCTACACATGTCCATTTCAACGAAAAATGCGCCATCATAGGCTGTAGCGATAAAATTTCGGCACCTGACAAACAGACATGTAATAACCCCATTCATCAGCAGGTTGAGGGTGTCCATGTTGAACGTGGGCAGGCGGCATTCCAACTGAAGGAGAAGCTGAAGAGAGCAAAGGTTGCTCACCCAAAAAATGGTGAGGCTCTTGACTTGCCGGTGGCTCATATCATTGAACAAGGTGACGACCTTGACGAGACATATGAGATTGTTGGCGACCGAGTGATCCCTTCCGAGGCTGACCCGATAACCCAAACAGCTCTTGCTCGGGCCTCGTTGAATCCAACTATTGGGACTAGCGCTACTAACCTAATCACACAAACCTCACTGGCAGCTCCCGCGCTCCCAGCAGCAAAAAAGAAAATCCGTGCGCAATTTGGCCGTTTGCGGACTCACAATGAGCAAATTCTTGTTGCCCCTTGCGGAATGATCATAGCTAGAGAGACGTTTTACTATGCAGAGTCAATAACTGCAGTTGTGGTAAGCGGAATTTAATTTTTATGAAGTACATTGTTGATTCACGTTGGGCCGTAGGAGATGATAAAGCGAACTTACCGGGGCGGGTTCATGCCCAACCACATAATCTTCGACAACAATTGTAGTGTTGCAAAGCACGTCAAAGATGACTCAGATTTCAACAATGTTGGGCTTGCCGTTGACGTCTTCCATTTCACCAACAAACATGCTGTGTCGGACACTTTCTGTCAAAGCAACTGCAATCCGGCACTCTTTCCAGAGCTTCTTGGTGAGAACAGAAGGAACTGGTGGTTCAACACCTCGATAGCAGAGCAAACAAATGTCTGGTTGGGCGGATTCCATTCAATTTGACGAGAGATGGCGGTGGATATGTTCGATTTTTTCCTGGATGAAATGGTCATGATGAGGAATAGGGCAACTAAGGCAAAGCTTACAAGCCAAGGCCTTAACCCCCAATGGTGGAGCTAAACCACCCAATTCTCCACATTGATGAGGTACCAGCTTTTTATTCAAAATACATACATAACGAGAATGGGCATAACTAGAACAAGACATCGTACATAACGAGGACAAGACATGGTATATATGTTAATTTAATCAGACGACAGCGTAGAGAAACTGATGACGCTGTCATCACTACCATCACTTTCCTCAGCTTCAGCAGTGCGTTGGCGCCGCAGGACCCGTTGGCGAGCCACCTTGAGTCTCATTTTCTCAAGAGAAACACGAACCGCAAAGTCTTTCCAAAGACCATCCTTGCCACACCCTTCAGCATGATCACGTTGCTCTTGTGTGGCTTCATCCCACCTGGACCATGCGTCGTAGTACGTCGAGCTCTTGAAAGGTATGCCGGTCAACGAATAGAAGTGTTGGGCAATGGTTGTTCGTGGTGGAGGTGGTTTGCAGCTATGCAGGACATGGATGACATCGCGAACCCGGTAGTCAGAGGGCCACCGTTTGTCTTCTCCTAGAATGGTGCTTGAGCTGACTGGTGCAGTTGTCCTAGAGGAATTGCCAGCAGGCAGTTTGCGACGTTTGACTGGTGTACAATACATGTCAGACGACAACTCGCTATCTGTGGCAGTACTGGAGGATGGCGGTTGTGTGGTGGTCAGTGCGATGGAAGTGCGTGGCCAAGAGACCTTACGAGGTCGTTTGGATTGAGAGGGAGTGGAAGAGTGAGGGGTGGATGGATTCAACTCCATGAACTGGCGGTCGAGTTTGACCTTGATGCTCACTCGCTCAGCACGAAGGTTCGTTTGAAAGTTTTTTGGAGTAGAGTTTATCCTGCTGTCGGCAAGGTAGTCACTGAGACGATGGCAGGTCTTCACATTGACATCTTTGATGAGGACCTCCGTCGTCATATCCACGGCAATGACGTGATTGGCCTTGAACCGTTGCCACGAGCAGCGTGAACGGTTGTACAAATGGTACCAGGCATCCTCATTGCTTGTTTGAAAGCCGGCGGCAGCAAGAAGGGAGGTTGATATACAGAAATTGGGCCAGACGAAGCCACCCTGGTGGATGAATTCCTCGGGCCCATCGTCATCCTTCAAGCAGGTGAATAACAGGTGATACTACAATGATTTGGAAACCTACCGAGAGCCACGTGCACACAGTAACGGTATGCTTCACTTTCTTGATTGCAGCAAGCCGCTGTTCCTCCACAACACGGGTGTTTTCTCGTAACTCCTGTTCACGCTTTGATTGGTCTGTGAAGATGGGCCGCATCTGCGAGGCGAATCGAGGATTAGGAAGGGGATTCATGGATGATGGCGGCTTGGCCAGAATTCGTGGGATTGACGGTGCTTCAACGGGGTGTACAGCTGGCGGTGATGGTAGATGAACATGGGCTTGTTCATCCGGTGTGAGAGCTGGCGGATCGACAGAAGGGCCAGCCGTCGGGAAAACAACTGAGTCTTGTGGAAAAGAGGTCAGTGATGGTAGGTGGACATGTGGCTGTGAGAAGACCGTGTCACGCGGGAGTGAGAATAGTGTAATCGGACACGCTGACAAGATGCGTGAACACCTAAACAACACACACACACAAACACCTTAAACACTTATCACCACAGGTACGTGCTCGGTACTTCGAGTTCGGGTTCGTACGGTAAACAGAATTACCACACTTGTTTTGTTAGAACTTAAGTAGAAGTTCGGGGAAACGTTTTTTGTATATTTTATATCACTTGTCTAAGTCTAGTAGACCTTTTCGGAACAAAAGGTATTGTTTTACGTGCGGACACAGTGTAGAGTCTATGCCCGGGCCTCGGACCGCACGGCAAATCGTTCATAGTTTTTTCTCTTTTGGCAGGCTTCGGAATATTTCACGAAGCTTAGTTTTCTTGGGTCAATGATGCCATGATTTGTGATGTGTTGATGCGCGTGATGCGTTTCTCCACATGACTTCTTGGATCATGCTTCGTAGCACGTGACCGAATGACTTCTCGCGTCAGGTACGCGTCGAGTTTCTACGCTTGCGCGTTTATCTTTAGAATTAATATCTTTTAATCCATAATAAGGTGAGACCCTGGTTTGGTGTAAACTCCAACACCCTGCGCGGGGGTGTTTTTACTCTAGAACACTCGGTAGCGTACTATTTCATGGTAGTGTAGCCTTTTATTAGACTTCGAGTATATTGAGGTGATTCGGTCACGAACCGACCGCAATTCCTACTGTCTAAGGCGTGCACATTTCTCGGATGTAAACTTTAATCGACTAGACCGGGTTGCGTCTAACGATCCTTATGATCAATGTGACTGTATTTCTACTATAGGAGGTTTTATAGGAGAAATCGCTAAAATTCGCATTTTTACGGGTGTATTGTTACACTCTGTATCATCTCCCCCTCACTATAATACTGACCGTCCTCGGTCATCACTAGATCCCCGTATGAGGACGTTCCCCTCGTGTTTTTCTGGATTTTATATTGATATGTCTTCAAAAGATCACCGTCTGTCAAGCGTGTCTTTTATCTTTCGGCGTCAATTACTATTACTAGTGCAGGCGCGTTATTCTTCGAAGACATGACATCATATTCCTATTGTTGCCTAGGTACGCCTTAGTTGATTAACGTTTTTGACGTCCATTAAGATTTTCAGGGTCGACGGAACCGAGGGATTCTCAGCAATCTTCTCCCGTAGACTATTCTTCGGAAAGTGCCTCGCTATTCCGTATGTTCCGCCTGACGTTCCTATAAACTTCATGCTTTATGGGAGCGATTGTCACAATTTCTTTCTAACTTTCCCCACCATGCCTACCGCATTCCTTGGTTGTCGCGCCGCCGTTCAAGCGTTCGAAGTCGGCATTGACCTCTTCTCGCGTTCCCGCCTCAACGCTATGTCTGAGGCCGAGATTATGGCTATGCTATACCGCCTGCATAGTTATATGGTGAGTCTCTGTTCTTTTCTTTTATTCTCTGCTGATTTTCGACTTTTTATTGCCTTAGTTAGCATTGTTTTTAGACATCCTCGCTCGTCCTGGTGGTCCTACGCCACACGAGTCTCGTTTACTGGCGTCCGTTTACAATGCCGCCCAACGCGTTGAAGAACGCAACCAAAGTACTGCCTGGGAGGAATGGCTGCAAGAACCATTGGATGGTCATGCGCTTTATAGCCCTGTAAGTAACTTTCTTCCGTTCTTTCTTTTTATTTTTCTTCTAATGATTTTTATCTTTCTAGGGCGAATGCCTAGACTCCAGCTTTACCACGGGGTACATAGGAGAGGAGGACGCGCCGAGCGACCGCGGGTCTTCGTCACCTCCGGGGATCATTACTCCCCGAGGTCGAGCTCGTGTCGTTCAGTCCCCTTCTCCTACGGGATCCGATCTGTTGTTTCTACCGAGCCCTGGCCCAGAGTCCCTGCCAGTTTCCTCGCCTGACTCGACGCCGCCTGTCCCTGTTCGAAGGTCGAAGTGTACTCGTGCCATGGTCATGGACGAAGATTCGGATGTGGTCGAGATCATCGATCCTCCGTCTTCAACGCCCTTGAAGCTGGCTATTGGCCCTGTAAGTTTCTTCATTTTCCTCTGCTTAGACATTTTTACTAACTTTTTTGGTTTCTTAGCCAGGTAAACGACGCAAGATTATTGAGAAACCCTCGTCTGATGACGAGGCCATCCAACATCCCAACCGTTCCCGTTCGAGCTCGTCGGACTCTGTGCCTCTCGCTAGGCCTTTGCATGCAGACAAGGGCAAGGCTCGCGCCAAGACGCCTCCGCCTGTTGCAGGTTCATCTCGAGTTGACAAGGGAAAGGCTCGGGCGAGGACTCCTCCTACTACTCGTAGTTCCGCCAAGCGTACTGCCTTTAAGCCACCGGTGGTCAAGCAGAAGGAAACTTCTGTTCAACCCAAGCGTCGCGGTCGCCCTCGTAAGAAGTGTAAGCTTTTTCTCTTTCTCAATTTGCTTTTTAACTTTATAATTCGGGTTTTTTCCAGCTCCCATTATTTTCCAAGAGCCCATCGTGTTCGACAAGAAGCGATTTAGTAAGTCGTTATTTTACTAGTATTTTGGTTACCCTGCTGACTTTCTTTTTAGAACGTGCCACTGCTAGATTTGGGCTTAAAGAGCTCCCCGCGGTTCTTAAGGGTACACAAATCCATGTATGTCTCCTCCTCTCATTTTTGTCTGAGTTTTCATAGGTACTGATACCTGTTTTATTAGATGCCCGAACCTTGCCTTCAGTGCTCTGCGCGCAAGGATTCCGCTGTCAAGAACTGCACCTTTCGTGGGTGGGGCACTCCCTGCGGTCCTTGCGACGCGGCGCATGTTTCTTCATGTGAGTACTATCTGAATGATGAACGCCGAGGGGCCGTCAGGGATGTCATCCGTAACCGGTTGGCTATTCATGCGCCTTCAGGTATGATTTATTTTATTTTATTTTTATTTTATAGTCTTTTTAATGACTTTTCACTTATTTTTCTAGCTATATCTGCGCTGATGGAGTCCATCGAAGAAGACACGCTTCATATGCGCACCCTATCCGCAGTCCTTGAGGCCATTCGCCATCGTCGCGACGCCAATCTTCGAGAGTTCGCAAACGCCATCGCGGACCTGTGTCTCACCGCCGAGCCTGGAACTCTTCTAGGCACTGTTTTCGAGACTCGCAAGGAGTTCGGCTCGTGGTACAGCTTCGTTCAAGACTTTGTAGATACTCAGGGGGTCCCAGTGCCTGCGGGTTCAACGACGGCCGATTTGGAGAGACTCGTCTCACTTTTTCAGCGAGACGATTCTCCTCCCATTGCTGGGCCTTCATCTCTGACACCTCGTCAACGCCGCGTCCGCTCGCTGTCCCTTATTCCTTCTATCGCCGTTGCTTCGCCTGGTCTTCCACCTTCCGCCCATTCTCAGGAGGAGGAGGAGGAGGTTATCGACGAGCTTGTTGACGAGGAGTAGGTGCGCTTGTTTTTACGGACTCTTTTACTTGGCATGCATTCGGACATCTTAGTTTTTTGGACTTTCTATATCAACCTTTTTGTGTCATCATCTTTTGTAGTTAGATTCTGCTGTCCTTATAGTAGAATCTTGACTTTGTCTTTCTTGAACTTTGAGATTTGTTCCTAAGTGAGAGCCTTTTTGCATGCTTTCTAGAGTGTGAACTTGTGAATTTTCGACTTTATTTCGCATTTTTCTATCAAATTCATTCTGCCTTAGGGTTTTATTGTCTCTAGTTCGCGTTTTTATGACTCTTTTCCCCTTGGTGGTTTTAGTGAATCATGAAATCGAATTTTTTATCTATCAAGGTAGCCTTGATCCCTCCCCCTCACTAAATATTGACTGTCCTCAGTCAAAACGACTAAGTTCATAGGTCACGTGGCGCGGGAAATCCAAGGCTCGGAAAGTTTATTCTATTTTTAGACGTGATCGTGCTGGAACGCGCAACTCCAAATTTTTCATGCTTCAAGTGAATTGCAACGCGGAATTTCGGAACGCGCATGCCTTGGTCTCAGACACACATATAAAAGCAGGCAGTGGCGAAAAATTTTCGGACAGAACAGTTTTTTGCTTTTCTACCACGCACTCTCATTTTACCACTCGCTCATTATGTCTATTCCACACAACGCTCTTCCCGCCGCTGTCAAGCTTCGCGAGTCCGCTCTCACTGCCTTCAAAACTTATCAGGACATGAAAGAGGGACTGAACAGCGCTGCCGCTCCCACCATTCTTGGCGTAGCCGCTAATTACTGTGTAAGTCGTGAATTTTTCTGTTATAAACTTTGTATTCTCTATTTCTTCGAACAAAGGCTAATACTGCGCACTTGACTAGGTTCAGCTTATCGACACCAAGGATCCGTGTCTGCTTATGCACCAGCCAATGCACAACGTGCTTTTCCTTGTTAGAGGCGAGTACAATACCCGCAGCACTGGAGTTCACGCCATCGCGCCCCCAGCCGACCTCGACACTATCAAAGAATATTGTCGCACCGTTCTCGCCGCGCGCGCCGCTGCGCAGGTCGTTCCACCACCTGTTACTGCTCAAGCTCAGGCTCAGGCTGAGATTGCAGAGGTAATGGCCGCCGCTAAAGCCAAGGCACGTTTATACTTATTTTGTTCATCTTTTCTCATTTTATTAACGCAGCGCGGACACATTTTGAAACAGCGTCCCCGCAAGCTTGTCAAGTCCAAGGCTGTCGTTGAGGACAAGGATGACGAGGTCGAGATTGTCCCCGGCCCCTCGGATTGATGGGTGGGTGTGATGGCCCCAACGCTATCACTGCAGCTGACACCGTGTGTTATTTTTTATTTTCTTTTGAGCAGAACACAATTTTAACATTGCGTACCGCTTTGCTCAGATGGCAGTGGACAACCTCTTTGGTGACGAAGAAGTCAAGGACGCTGCTTCCTCTCCCAAAGAGAAAGGCAAGAAGCGCGCTGCCTCTGGTCCCAAGGTAAGCTGCTATTATTGCGTGAGTCCACTGCCACGTTGTTAACTTACAGACCCCAGCCAAATCCAAGCGTGCCGAAACGGTCAGCATTCCCTATGACGCTGTTCCAGGCATGGACACTAACAGTCGCGAATTTCACAAGGCCCTCGTCGTCGAGCATGCCAAAGGCAGTTGCGCTGGCGACAAACGCCCTCGTACTGAACCGCCCTTTATTAGTGGTTTAGCAGATCTTCAGTCTCGTCAAAGTTCGTATTTATCTTTTATCTTCATAAATCGTAAACTAACGCGCTCGTCCTTTGTTATAGACAAGTCTGCCAACTCCTTGCTCATCGACAACCCTCTGTACAGGGAGATCTTAGCGCGCGCACATGCTGCTGTTACCAACCGCATGCCGGCTTATCCCACCCTTGCTTATTTCAAGCAGCAAGAGGTCGATCTTCGTGAACGCGTTCTTCTTAGCATGCAGCGCCTCGACTTGGAGCTTCGTCTTCGCGATGTACTTGTCGCTGATTACGAAATTGCCCTTGCCCAGATTGCTGAGCGTGAAGTAACTAAGGAGTAGTAGAACTATCCGAACTTTTTTGTAGACGGACACCTAGAGCCCGCATGTATAGTTGACTACGCATGGAAAATCTAGAAGGCGCTTGCGCATTATGTTTATAAACTGCTGGAGGTTTTTATTAAACTTTTTAGCCAATTTTAAAGCATAAGTCTACTAAGCCTCTTCTTCACTTAAATCTTCGATTTCTTCTAAGTCCCCGGATTCATCTGCGGAAGACCCATCAAGATTAACTCCTTCAAAGTAGTAATCTCTTGCGTTAGGTCTTTCTTCAACGCCTGTGTTTTCGATTTCATCCAGTTCCTCATTGCTTGCATCAATAAGTGTACTGAAGTGCTCAGGTAAGTCGATCCTTTCTCTTGCGAAATACGGAATGACTCTGAACGCTCCAATTTTATTGTGATTGACTGATCCGTCCAGTTCACAAACTATATATGAACCTCCCTTTGTTCGACGTACCACAATCATAGGTCCCAGGTATCTTGGTTGCATTTTACTATTTAATGACGAGGATACTTGTGAATTTCTGATAAGCACCAGGTCTCTCGGGTTTATCATTCGACCACTGATTTTATGGCGGTGGCTTAGTTCATATTTTGCCACTCTTTTCACTTTTTCTAAGGTGACCCTCTCACGCATTTCCGCCACATGCTGCCTGTGTTTTGCTAATGCTTTGGCTCTATAGCCAATCAATTCTGCAGTGGACAACATACGATCTGGTAATTTTACTAACCAGGTAGCCTCCTGTACGTCGAGAGGTAATATTGGATGTGCGCCTGTTACCATAAAGAACGGCGAACAACCAAATCTTTTTCTAATCATGATCCTGTCAGCCCAAAGTACTTGCCAAAAGAACCAATACCACTTGGCAAGGTTCTTGGGTCCACAGCACTTTGTGAGCATTTGTATAATATCCCAATGGGGCCTTTTGATTCTGCCATTTGCCTTAGAATTATACGGAGATATCCTAATACCCTTTATCCCATATTTTTCTTCGAGCCATTTTACAGCAGCAAGGAAAACCGAACCATTGTCAGTTATTATTACTTCTAGACAACCCCATCTGCAGATGACTTCTTCAAAAAGCCATAAGCCGACAGTTCTTGCAGTTTCACTTTTTAGGGGTTTTCCTTCAACCCAGCTTGACAGTGCACACCTCCCATGGACGATGTACTTACATCCATTTGATTTCGGAGTCATGTGTACGGTATCAGCGTGTAGTCGTTGGAAAATAGATGGTGTATGTGTCACGGTGGGAGGGATTTCCACCACACGCTTGGTTCGTTCCTGACAACGCTGGCATGTTTTCACATACCAATGTACGTCTCTTTCGATTTCAGGCCACCAAAAACGCTCCGTTAACATATTCTGCGTTGCATATGCTCCCCTATGTCCCATAGCATCGTGTGCAGATCTCATCATGTACATTCGGTGAGACTTGTCGACCACTAGCTTGTGACGTGATTCAATGCTTCGACGATATAATCTATCTTCTTTGTCTAGGAAGAAACTTTTTGCAAATCTTACGAAAGCGCCATACTTTTTATCAGAATATCCTTCGATCTTTTTAGGATTTTTCAGCCATTCTCTTAGTATAAGAAGGAATTCATCCTGTGACTGTCCAATGAATGACCTATGAGTTTCCGGGTAAGGTTGCTCTGTTTCTAGTTCGTCAAACCTGGCCTCCAGGCCTGGTGAAGTTAAAGTCGAAATCATGTAAGTTCGAAGAAATTCCTTCTGTTCTGGGCTGCTTTTTGTATGATCTGGATCATTGTCCACTCTTGTTTTCACATCTTTAGCTATTTTCTGTGTCATTGCTATTTCCCTGTCTAGTTCATCCTTAAAATCTGAGATGTCTAGAGCCAATTGTTGGATATATCCCCCCCTTGAGTCAATTTGATCTTTGAAGGTTTCGAAATCCAAAGGGGGCTCCCCTCCATCTGGATCTGGTAACACTTCAATGACACCAATGGGTTCGTCGAGATGTTCATCTGAAGGTGGATACACATCGTCACCTGGTTGAGCGTTTCTGCGTGATAATCCATCTGCGCCAAAGGTCTTTCCTTGGACATGCTGTAACTTAAAATGGAACATTAGACATGCGTCAATCCATCTGTTGATGGTTGCATTCGGTCCCATTTCAGGGTTTCGAAGCATACCAGACAGGTATTTCGCGTCTGTTTCCACAATTAGTTTTCGACATCCTAGAAGCCAGTATGATGCAGCTTGTAAAGATCGCATTAAACCAAATAATTCTCTTTTTGGTTGAGAAAATCGAGCTTCTCTATCATTCAAAGTTATAGAACCGAACCTGGCATACTGCCTAAGCCCAGTCGTATGGCTATCCTGATATATGTAGAACCCAACCGCTTTCCAAGAGGTGTCTACAGCTAGTACCACTGGGTTAGGATTATTTTCGTAATCCAACGGCACGAGCGCTTTACTTTCGCGAAGTGAGGATTTCAATTTGTCCATAGACTTTTCTTGTGCCGGTCCCCATACAAAAGGAGCTCCCTTTTTGCATAAATCGTTGAGAGGTTCTGCTTTCTTTGCAAAATTCTCAATAAACATTCTGCAGACCCCTACAGTTCCTAGAAAAGCCCTGACATCATGTAGGTCTTTACAAGGTCCCCAAAGATCTATAACTTTCATTCTTTCAGTTTCCGGTTTTCTGCCTTCATAAGTGCATAGGTGGCCTACTACTGTTATTTCAGCCGCACAAATTACCGACTTAAATCCCGAAAAGGTTCCTCCAGCATATTTCATCCTATGAACTACCCTGTTAGCATTTTCGAAGTGTTCCATTATGAACCTTCTTATACCGCTATTTTCAGGTATAGTCTCATATTTTCCATCTGGCAACTCATACCTTGTTGCAGGACCTCTGACAGGCACATCATCAATATATGGTACAGTTACTTCAGGAATTTCTTCTTGTAAAATATACGTAACATCATCATGGAAAATTGGAACGGAATTTGTCCAACCCATGGGTAGAGTGACAAGCCTTAAAGCTCCAAAAGGTGTTTGAAATGTAGTCAGATCCCTGGAAGTTTCTGCCAAGAGCCTTTCATCATATCCTACGTATAAATCAAACATTCCTCCGCAAGCACGACCAGCGAAATGCGTAGCAAGTGCATCGGTTGCCGGTGGTAACCCTGAATGCGCTATAGTCACTGCATTTAAAGGTTCCAGGCTATGTACAAGCCTCAAACTTTTTCCATCTTTCTTTAATACACAAAACCATCTTGACCTATAAGAAGAATTTGAGGGTTCATATACCCCAGCATCCAATTTGGTCTTAATAATTCTGCACACTTCTTGATAAAGTCCAGGAGGTATTGGAATATTTTTCAAAACCCACGGCGTATGTGGAATTATTGGAATGTCTACGGGTGGGAAGTATTCTGTTTTGAAGCTCCCCCTCTCACTATCATCCCAAGCAAAGGCTTCGTTGTTTTCCATCATAAAATAATGTAGTAGTTTGCGCTCCTCTGGCCACAAGAAATCGCCGTCATGAACTTTGTCAAATTGCTCTCTTCGCTCTTCAGTATAGCGTCCCGTGGGTGTGAATTTTGGTGGGTTTCTATTCAGCTTTGGCAAGGTGTCCATTGGATCGCCTTTTATATCCCGAATAATTCGAAATTTATCTGGTAGGTCCTGAAAGACGGGTCGGATTTTCTGTGCGACTGGTTTATACTTTTTAGTTACCAGTACCTCCCTTGTCGCAGGATGTTCACCCTCCACTTCGCTCGGTTGCGCTTTACCGTCATGGTTATATATCGTATTCATCATGGTTTCCACTGTAGATGCGGTGCCCGATTCTTGACTTTGCTTAGAATAATATTTTTCTAAGTAGTTTACCAGAACCGTACTAGCCGCCTTGTCTGTCATCTTTTCTTTTTCATGTTTTAAGTATTTTGTAAGATACAAATTCCTAGTCTCTTCTTCAGAGAATTGATCGTCCATTGGTAAGGCGTACGATAGGACTTTATATCCTCCCGCACCGTCTTCTTCGAAAGCTATCGCGATTTCTCCTTGATCTTTTTCAATCAAATCATCGAGGGTTGAAAAACTTTCTCAGTTTTCGGTTGAAGATCCTCTTCAGTGTGCATTTTCATCATTACTGGTGGTTTTCCTCTGTCAAAAGTGGGTAACATTGCTCTTCTGCCAGAGTTTGGATCCGTTATGGTTACCGTCTGTCCTCCGTCCGTAGAGTTTACGACCACGCTCCCTGTTAACACGTCAAAGGGCCTGCCCAATAGTACTTTATAGGCTGGGTCCCGTATTACATGCACTTGCAGGTAAATCATAATTCCTCCGAAGTTAAATGGAACATTTTTGGCGAGACCAAGGGGGTCTTTTCCAGAGTTCTATTCGCAGTTTGCATTTGAATGGTTATATCAGGATCCCAAGGGACTGCTAATTTCTTAGCAACCTCCGCATCCATTGATACAATTTGTGAGCCACCATCCAACAAGCT